TCAGCAGGTAAAGTGAGACATTTGCTGCCTCCTCTGTAGCAGCACCGCATCCAAAGGACAGATGCTTGTATGGGCGGGGAATGAATAAAGCAGACATTGATGTGGAGAGGTCTAAGATATCACAGGCACGTGCTGGATCACAGACAGCCGGTAACCTGCTGTTGGGTCCTTCTCCCAGCCATGAGAGCAGGCTTCATCTCTCCAAGCTGCCTTCAACAGATGAGCCTCCATCCCCTGGTTGGCACTTCAGAGCCTCCTCTGGGCCCCCTTCACCAGCAGCAGCTCCTTCTGGTCCTGTGGCCCATGCTCTGGGCAGCAGCAGGCTCTTGGGCTCTGCGTGCCTGCTTTGGGGGTGCCCTGTGGCAGGGGAACGTTGGGAGTAGCCAGCCCCCCTGCCCTGCCATCGCAGCAGCTCTGTACAGCACAGCTCCTGACAGCACGACTCGTATAACGAGGACGAACTGGCTGTTGCTTTTATTCTTCTCCTTTCTTCCATCTTTAAGCTGAGGGAAGAGTTTGACCGAGGACTGGATGTTTTCTTGGATGAGCATCAAAGCGTTCATGATGTGGCTGCTCTGCTCAAAGAGTTTCTTCGGGACATGCCGGATTCCCTGGTTCCCAGGGAGCTCTATGCAGCCTTCCTCAGCACAGCTGGTGAGTGCCGGGGGTGGATTGCTCTCGCTCTGCACAGCCCACCCACCACGCTTGGTTTTGTAAGGAAAAAAAGGGAATTTTCTTCTTGTGCAATTACCTGGCTCAGTAGCAGGTCCCAGCACAGTTCAGCGTCTGCGCAGGAGCTGAGCCCAGCCGTTTGCGCTGCCCGTCGGGGGGTCTGTGCAAATGCCCTGCCCAGTCCCCCTACCCTCCATATTTTGGGTGACTGAGTCTTTAGGCAGTCTCCACTGCTTCCAATGCTTCCAGCATCACTCTTTCTTGGACTCCTTCACCATCTCTTTGCTTCCCTTTTGCCATCCTTCTCTCCTCAGATTTAATTCTCCAAATCCAAATCCTTGAATCCCTGCTTCCACATCAAAACCGAGCAGCTACGCAGCAATGGGCTTGCTCTAAGGCTGTGCCATGCCAGGGAGCAAGACAGGGCATGTGGTGGGGTACAGAGGTGTACAGGGATTTCAGGGAGCGTACAAGGCAATCTTCTGCCCTCCAGCTCAGGTATTTGAGCACACAGCAGCCGTGCACTGTAAAGCAGGAGTGTAAACCAACCTGTCCTTGCTGAAATCACCCCAGAGCAAAGGCATGGGGCTACAGGTTGTGTCCTCTAGTTGTGGGCATGTAGCACTGAGTTTCTTCAGGATGAATACATCCTGAGGCTGGGGCACGTCTCAGCATGCGGTCTCCTTAGGGAGATCGGGAAAACCTGGGCGGCGGTGGAGATGGAAGGCTGGCTGCAGTGCCCATCTTTTCTAGCTCAGGAGCAGCCAGGGTCTCTTACTTACAGGAGTGTGTGAAAGCAGTGGTGTTTCCTCCAGTATTCCGCCTTCCAGGGGTCTCCAAGTAACACGAGTAACTCTTGTTAAGTGACTCCTGTTAACGTTTTACAGCCTTTGGTGGATTTCTGTTCCATCTGCTTGCTCAGCTGCTGTTTGAGCCCATCCAGCTGTGTGGTGGACATGGCATTCAGCAGGCCGCAGGGCTGCGGTTTAGCTACACGCTCCGTTACATGCTACTGTCACAGCCTGTGTTCTTGTCACTGCCCGGGTGTGCGATCTGAGGGGGTCTTCAGCTCGCGCCGGGTTTGCGACCCTCGTACCTGCACCAGGTCTTGCCAGTTCTCCTTACGCAAGTGATCTGAGGAGCCTCCCCTCGCAGCCAGCACCGGAGCAGGGTACGGGACCACGCAGTCCCCCGCCCGCTGCTCTTTCCTGACCTGCCATCCATCGCACAGAGCTTTGAACGTCCCTCGTGCATCACACCCTCCTTTTGGGTGTTGTAGGCACTCTCTCTCGCCTTGGCTGGCTTGGTGTTTGCCGTCCCCCATCCTCCTCCCTTGCCAGCTCAGCATCACTACCGCTGCAGCGAGGTGGCTTTCTTTCCCCTTGCTGACACTGTTAAAAGGGCCAAACGGCCCTGGGCTTCATGTGGACCTGTGGGGCAAAACCATGAATTCACACCACACCACGTACGATTTTTCAAACGTTTGCCTCGCAGATCCTTCCTTACCACCCTGCTTTCCCCAAACCGCCCGGCAGCGGTGGGGTTAGTGATAGGCTGCCGGCCACTGCCACATGCAGTTGCTGCAGTCTGTGCTTTTTTTTTTTTTATAATTGGATTATAATCCCTCTGGTCTAGGACAGTCTTTGACTTTGGGGCTGTACAATACCAAATGCAATCACGTCGCAGCCCTTGCTGGGGTAAGATGCCAGTCTGGCTCCCTCCAGAGCTCGTTACCGTGGATGCAAACGAGGGCTGTCCAGCTGGAAGTGCCTAGCGGGCTGGGAATCGCACTAATTAACGGGCTGCTCTCTGCCTAGCCATGGAGGGCCCGGGGCAGCTGGCCGCCCTCCAGCTGCTGCTCTTCCTGCTGCCCCCCTGCCACAGCGACACGCTGCACCGGCTCCTGCGGTTCCTCAGCGAGGTGGCCCGGCACGCCGAGAGCTCCTGGGGCCCCGACGGCCAGGAGGTAAGGCTGGCCCAAACGGGTCGACTGCACGAAGAAGGGGTTGCTCAAACTTTGTTGAGTACAACGAAGCAGAGCTTCTTGCAAGCCCGGGTGAATCCTTTGGCAAAACCAAACTGTTGGTAAATCCCCTTGTCCGTGGCGGGTCTGGGTTGCTCTCGGTCCAGCTAAGTGATTTTCTGGGTTGCAGTAACCCCAGAGAGACCTGGCTGCATGTCCGTAGGCAGCGCAAGGGACATTTTTTGTGGATTAATTCTAGTTTTCCACCTCCAGCTTTCATGAAGGACCTGTCATCGTGCATTGAGGTTGCTTTTGGCTTCTCTGGACAATTCAAGCTCTAAGTCTCTCGATGATTCAAAGAGACTGGTTTTGGCCCATATTGTGCGATGATATAGAAATATTGGTTGTTACCTTCTGGTGGGTATTGTGAAAGCGAGGTAGATGGGAATGGAGGCCCTGATGCAAGGAGGGGATGAGCGTGTGCTCCAGCACCACAAACCCTTTGTGCTGGCCCTGCCACCAGCTCGGAGAGGACCAAACCGGACCCAGATCTGCACCCTGGCCTCACTCAGCAGCTCGTGTTCCCGTCCTGGGGTGGGTGAGACTGTCCTGGGACATCTCATGTTCATGCATCTATAATCTGCAATTTCCTTTTGTGCTTGCTTGCTAGATTCCTGGGAATAAAATGACAGTTTCAAACTTGGCCACAATCTTTGGTCCCAACATCCTTCAGAAGGAGAAGCCTGGGGAGAAAGATGCTGGTGCCATGAACTTTGAAGACAGCACTGCCATCATACTGGTGCTCCAGAGGTTGATTGAGCACCACCAGACCTTGTTCATGGTAGGTGAGGCTTTCTCAGGGCAGCTTCTCTAGACCTTTCCTTCCCCTCTGAACTCTTCTAATGGCAGCAGAAGGAAGGATGTATTCACAGCCCCACTTAGCAGTGGCTTGTGGAAATGTGGATCATTCCTCATGGCAGGTGTAAATATTAACTTGGGGTGGTTTGTTACTGGCATCGTAAAGGCAGAGCTGAGGGTCATGCCGTCCAGTTGCATAGCTGCTCTCCTTGGGGACAACCCAGTGGAGGCTGTGCCGCTGCTTTGAAACCCTGGCAAAAACTCCCTGGATCAGCAAGAGCATACACTGAGCAGTCCTCCTGGCCCTGGTTTTAGGAGAGAACCTGGGAAATTCCCGAAAAATACCAGAAATGTCCATTTCCTACAGGTCTATGGGAACGTGACATGTCAGGTCCCCCCAAAGCCTTGTAGCAATTGTCAGGTCTACAGGGAGCCAAAGGACCGGGGTTAGCACGGGAAAAGCAGGGGCTGAGATCCTGCTCCGAGCCTCGGGAGGTGTGTGGGACATGACACCAACACAGAGGGTCTGTGAGCACGGGTTGGCCTGGAGTCCGCTGGCTGTGCTCGGCTGCCCCTGCTCCTCTTCCTCCGGAGAGGAGGAGCTGCCGTGAGCCAGCGTGTCTGTGTATCCCTCCCAGGTCTCTCCAGAAATGCAACACGACATCCTAAGGAGGCTATTTCAGACAGACCCTGATGTCATCGACTACCTTCTGCGCAGGAAGTTCAACGCCGTGCCGTAAGTCCCCGCCAGGCGCGGAGCCGCGGTGCTGCTGGAGGGCACCTGGCTGCACGGGGGCAAAGACCTCCTGCTGCCGCGCTCCCCGCGCCGCTGGCAAGTGATGGAGGAATCCCGCTGATCTTCCTGCCCGTTTTTCCTGACCCTTCTGGCACTTTCAGTCATTAACTCCCCAGCTAAAATCCTTCACTTTCTGTGCTAACACCTAACCGCTGAAGCATCCCAGCTTTTCTGTCCCTTGGAGCTCCCTGTTCCCCTTTCCCACCCCCCACAGCCTGTGCCGTGCTCTCTCCTTTATCCAAATCTGCCCTGCATCAGAGCTCCTCCACCGCAGACACCTTTCTGAGTGTGTACCTACACAGCTCCTCTCCTGCTGCACCCCAGACCCCTCCGCTGCTCCGGCCTCTCGGGATCACACACTGATGCCTGCTCCATTTTCAGCTCCATCACTAGCCTCCTCCAAATTTTCTTCACCCTTGGTGTTGCCTGCATTTCTGTGCATTTTTTGCCTGTCCTGTGTGCATCTGTGTGCACGTGCGTCTGTGCGTGTGACTGCCAGCTATGTCCGTACTTCTGCTTTTTGGCTGCAATATAGGTCAGTCCCATATAGGCTCAGAATTTGAGCTCCTGCCCTTCCCCATGATTAAAGAAGGTGGGGTGAAAGGGCCTCGTGTCCCATGATCTGGGCCCACGGTCATGGCACGCAGCACGGGAGGTATTTTGCTCCCCTGTGGTCTGCAGCAGGGCATGCTCGGCAGCCTTCCCTCTCCTTGCAGGGCTTCAGCAGACGTGGGCTGTCCTGTGCGAAATGGTTTCCTGGAGCGCAGACCTTACGAGTCTTCTCTGCTCCTGTTCCTTGTCTGGCTTCACGGTCCTTTTGGGACAGTCCAAAGAGACGGCAAATCTTTGGGGTCACTGCTAGAGGCCGTTCAGGCGTGGAGTCGGCAATGGAAGCAGTTTGTAAATAGCATCTCTCTTTTTTACTTCCTTAGGAGCACAGAGAGTGAGGATTCAGCAGAAGAGCATGCTCCATCCCCCCTGCCTGGTCGGACCTGCACCCTGGAGAGCAGCTCGGTCTCGTCAGAGCTCTACAGCAGCGTCTCATTCCTAAACCTGGACGTTGGCATCTAGCGAGCCAGAAAGCCACGTCCCCTGCACTGCCTGCTCCGGACAAAACTGGGCCACCTTTCCCCAGCAAAAATAAGTCCTCTAGCCCGCTTTGGAGGAGTGGAGAAGTGAAGGGAGTATGAATGCCTGTGGGAGCATCTTTGCTGCCAGCAGACATGCCAAATGGTTCTGGTGTAGGCAGACCCACAGCAGCAGAGGCGTTTGCAGGTTGCCCGCAGAAAGGCTTTCCACATGTGGGTTTGTTGCTAGATGGCAACCAAGAAACCCGCGCGCTTGTGCAGCGGCTGTGCATGCATGGGGGTGTAGGCAGCGGTGCGCGAAGGGGGGCGAGCCAGAAAGCCACGGGCGAGTGCTGCAGCCTGCTTGCGGGGCTGCAGTGCCCTCAGCGCGGCGCTGCCTCTGCGATTCACGGCTTCACAGGAGCGGGAGGCGTGAGAGTGCTGGCCGCGGAGCTGTGCATGAGCTCACGGCTCAGGGTTAGCGGCACGCTGCGCGGCAGTGCAGGCGGGGACTGCGGCGCGGCTTTGTGGCATCCCTGCCTGGGGGCGACAACCTCCCCCCTCCGAACGACCACCAGCCCCGTGCACTGGGACAGCGAACTGGTGCAGACTGGGGAGCAGCAGGCGGGTGTCTGACAGCTCGTGCCATGCTCGGCAGACGGGACTCGGAGGTCCAAACTGGAGCCCATCTGGTGTGCCTCCAGGCATGTGCTGGGCGCTGGTGGGGCTGGCGGCTGACGGGGCCGGGGGAGCGGGAGCCCAGGGCTGAGACCCCCTGCGCAGAGAGGGAGGAGGCTGGCCTGAGGCAGAGGTGGATGGGGACTGTTCGCAGGGCGGTGAGGATGGAAAATGCAGTTCGACTTTGTGCAGTTGGTGCTTTGGGATCCCATTTACCGTGGGTGGTGTATCCCGGGCTTGTGCGGAGAGAAGGCTCTCTGGGAGCTAAAGGAATGCCCGTGGAGCTAAAGCAGCAGCACCATCATTGGAAAGACACCCTGGCCTGCCCTGCCCTGTGCAGAATGAATCACAGCTTGCTTCTTTGTTTGAACCCAGGTTTCAAACTGCTCATTTTATAGACAGAAAACACTGCATCGACCCCAAAATGTATGGCTGGTGTAGTAAAAGGGAACAACATACTCTGAGGATTATAAACTTCAATTTTCCTTGAGTTAATATTCGTTAAGTAGACCTTCTAATGCATTTTACAGATTATGGTGTCTTTTCATGATCCTTGGCTGAGAAATGTCTGGTTTGGTTTGCTCCTGCTGCTCAGGCATTGGAAGTCAGCTGTATGCTGACGTGTGGGCATAGTTTAGTTTCTTTGTTTTTCTTGTTGTGGTTTAAAATGTTTCTGTTTGCGCTGGCACGTTGGGTAGAAGCTGAAGGACTTGACACCGCTTCCCCTCCCAAAAGTGGCTGAAAAATAAAAGAGTATTTTTGAAAAGAAAACCAGGCTGGAGTGTGTGGCAGAACTGCGGCTCAGGGAGGACGAGGAGGGACGGGGATGTTTAAAGGAGGGCCAAAGCTCCATCAGTGGTTCTGTCCATGTGGGTTTTCCTATGTTCGCATCCAGAGTCGGTCCACAGATGAGATGTGGAATGGGGAATCGTGGCCGGGGCCGGTGCTCCGGGAAGCTTTGGGCCAGCGGGATGCTCCTGCGGGGGGGAGCGGCGGGTGCTGCCGGGGCCGGGGTGCCAGCTCGGTCCTGGGGACGGGGGGATGCGGGTCGAAGTCTGGCCTGAGGTGCAGGTTGTGACAGCACGTGGCGGCCAGGCAGGGGAGCGGGGCTGGGGCTGCGCCAGGGGATGGCCCTGGGGATTAGGCGTAGGGTGGGAGCGTCCCTGCAGAGTGAGCGCTGGGCGTCTGGGTTCTCACAGCCCAGCTCCTCCTGGGTGCTCCACACGGTGCTCACACCACCGCGGGTGACTTGGCGGCCGTGAGAAATGTTTGGCTATGCCCAGGCCCCCATGTGAGGTTTGTCGTTAAGGTGAGGGTTAGTGTTGATTTTCCATGTAAGGTTATGGGCATATCCTCCCGACTTCACATTTTTGGGTGGGTTGCAGCTTTCTCGGGTCAATTGATTTGCTTTAGGGAAGTTTTTTAGGGTCAATAAACCCCGAATATTAGTTTCCACAGTAAAATTATTTTGCTAGGAGTAACGGTAGGTTGCTGTTTGGGAGTACAGATTTGGCAAGGGGTTAGGCTTTATGATAGAGATAGGATTAGAGCTAGGGTTAGTTTTAGGTTAGGACTAGGGGTAGGGTTGGCAATGAGATTAGGGTGACTACAGGGGCTGAGATAGAGTAAGTATTTGGGCCGCCTCTGTTGGAGGTAGGCTGGGTGTCCTCAGCATGCTTGGATGAAGTTGGTGACCATGGGAAAATGTTTTGCGGTCATGTAAAACACCAGAGTAGGTTTCCATTAGGGGCTGATTTAAGTTTTGGGTTATGAGTAAGGTTCAAGATTAGGTTTAGAGCTTTGTTTAGGGTGGGGGTAAGGCTAGGGCTTGCCTGATCTATAACCATTGGTGTTCAGGTGACTTTGGGAGCCAGGGAAAGTATTTTTATATTGCCCAACCTCTCAGACTAGGCACACTTTTGATGCTACGGTTAAGTTACGTTGCTGTTCTGTTTGGACAGAGGTACACCTCAGGGCAATGCCGTGATGCTGGAGAAGTGTTTCACACAGAAAAATGAGGTCTAGTTAGGTCTAGGGTTACAAGAAGTTTACACTGGGGCGAGGGTAATCTTTGGGGCTAGGTTTAGGGTGAGGGTGGGAGCCCTCCCAGCAGAGAGGTGTGCTGGGGGCTGAGAGGGTTTGTGCTTTGCTCTGGCTGGGGTTAGGTCAGGGTTTGGGTGAGGCCCTGTGGCCTCCAGAGTGGGATTCCCAGGAGTCCTGCTCCACCGAGAGAGCAGGGAAGAGGCTGAGCATCATCCCGTCAAATCCAAAAATGGTTGCACCACCAGTGCTCTACCTGAGGGCCACAGGGGACCAATGTGACCCACGTGCACCCTAAGTGAAGGACCAGGAGGGCCCCATGGTGGAACCATGCACCGATGGGACAAACTGCTCCCATAGGGGAGCTGGGCCCAGGGTGCTCCTGCACCTCCCAGGCTGCTAAGGGCTCCAGGACCCATGGCTGCCTCCTTCCCTCCCGTGGGGCAGCCCCATGCTCACAGCACTGACCCTGGGCAACTACTGCTTTGCCCCAGTTGCAGGGAATGTGCCCCCAAAGGAGCCTGGGTTCCCATGGGGCCTGTCATGGGTGCAGGGAAGAGGTGGAAAGGGGTGAAGAAAGCATACTGGGCTTGGTCCTTGGTTGCTTGGTGGAAAAATACCCCAGCACAGTGGGGGAAGCCTTCCCCTGCGGCCTCACGGGAATGGCTGCATCACGTGGACCTCACTTGATGCACCCCAGGGGACTACGGGTGCGTTTGATGCACCCCAGGCGAGCCCTGGCTCCATGGCACATTGGTGATGGAGGGACTGGGACAGGCTGAGCTCAGGCCATGGACCAGTGTCTGCCCTTTGCTCCCACCACCGGCTCTAAAGGAGGAGGTGACAGCAGTTCCCACAAGAGATGCGGAACAGCTACCCCTCCTTCCCCAAGTCTTGTGATTTGGCTCCATGTGAGGCCTTGGTCTTCCAGCCTAACTCTGAGCGTCGCTGAGGCGGCAGCAAGTTTCATGGAGCTGCGGTTGAAGGGCTCACTGTTGAGCTGTATACCTCTGCCGTGGGGTCTCCTAAGGATGCTCCGATTCCCCCACCGTGGACAGAGGGTCACCAGCTCCTGCAGCCCACAGGGGCCTCTTGAAAAGAAATGGCCCCGTACCGAACTGAGCTAAGGCAGCTGGATGTGAGTGTAAAGAGCACGTGTTCAAGAGAAGCCACCATCGAGGCAGGCAGGGCCCAGCCGTGGCCCCTTGTGTCAGGACGTGCCCTTTGGCGGCCCTGCTCCTCAGGGCCTCCTCCCTGGACCAGTCTGAGGCGAACTGGGCTGGTTTGGCAAACACCACGCCGAGGCGTGGGGAAATGCTTGGCATCGTGGTGCGGACGCGTGCTCCAGCAATGCTGGTGTCTTGCTCTGTTTGTGAACAGGGAGCCCACGGCTCGGCCCATGTGCCTCACGGCCGTAACACTGTCATGGCTTTGGCTGCGCCGTGGAGCAGCATGAGGATTATTAACGAATGCACGAGCCCTTCTGTGCCCCTCGCCTGATTCCACCATAGCCTCAGCTGCATCTCCCCAGTGGATGGTACCTGTCTCACGGTACTGCACCTCCTCAGCTGGGAAGCTCAGGGTTGAGCTCTTATTTTGTAAAGGTCCCTGTGGATGGGCACTGTCAGGATGGGTGGAGAAGTAGTTCCCGGAGAACAGCAGGCTGAAGAGAGAAGTGTGTGCTGAGAGATAGCTGGTGAAAGCCTCCCAGGAACTGATAAGCTCCAGAGATGAGCAGTGCTATTGAGTCTGCAGGAGAGAATAAACTCAGGACGCCGTCAGTCTGCTGAAGGTTTCTGAGGCCACCAGCACACTCGAGCATCAGCTGTGTAACCGGCTCCGTATCCAAGGAGGCAGCGGCTGCTCTGTGCAGACAGACTACAGGATTACACCTGCTGCAAGAGCAGACCCTCTGCGGCACCTTCCAAATTTCTCCCTAGAAGCCTCTGGCATGTCAGGGTGACTCTCCGCTCCTCAGTCAGCAGCTGGCGTTGGTCTCACTGTTCCCACGTGCTGCGAGTGACTAGTTATCTCCTGTTAGTCCTAACAGCTTGAGTCCGTTAACGGTACCGCAGTAACGAGGACAAGGTGTTCCAGTAACTCTTGGCCGTGACTTGATTGTGGATCTCTCCGTGTCCCCGCTGAGGGCGAGCACTGGAAGGGGGCAGATCCTCAGGTTGGGAGGAGTTGTTGCAAATGTCCACCAAGAATTTTGAATCCAAGAAAAAGCAGGTGATCTTTATACCTTCAGCTGGACGAAAGGGCACTCAAATCATTTTGCCAACACGAAACCTGGACTGCAAATCAGCTTTTTTGTCATCATGGGGGAATATGAAGTGTCGGAGTCCGAGGTGTACGGGGAATGGACGGATAAGGCTCACTAGGTGCGGTGGGTGATGGGCCATCCTGGGGAGAACTTCCCTCCAAGCGTGTTGTACGTTGGATTCCTTGGGGACCAAAGAGGAACACATTCTAATGGAAGAGGAACAGGAAAGGCACAGTTGTGCAGCAGTGGTGATACGAAGTCTGGAAACTTGTAACATGCGAGGGGGGAACAGAGACAAGCAGGACGGCAACACCACTGCTAGCAGCGCTGGAGAAAACGGAGCCCACTGCCTGCCTGCGGTGACGGCAAGACTGACAGCCACGGACAGTGGATGGAGACGGCACAAACCTTCTGCATCCCTCACCTTTAGTTCATCGTGAGAACATCACAAGCATTTTGCTGCCCAAACATTTCGGCGGCTGCAGCCGTTGGCCTGCTCATAAAGGAGGACGCCAGGAGCATCAAGGCTGACGTTAAGATCTCGAGCAGAGCACAAAACCGGCAAAGTGCTTCATGCCTTGGCACGGCCAGAGCTCAACCTGATGCCACTGCTTCTAGGTGTAGCCTTGACTTGTCGTTGCTACCAAGAGCAACAGATCTGGCACTGAGGGCAGTGGTGAGAAGTCCACACAGCCTCCATCGCATGTTTTTGATCAAATTTTTCAGTATCAAAATAGAAAAACCCAAGCAGAGTGAACATTTCCTCATTCCCCATCACCTCAGCGAGTCACTCGGAGAGCGGTTGTGGTGTAGATTGATGCCACCAACATCACTTTGGCTTCTCTCCCTTGATTCCTCTGAGCTTTAATTTGTTTTTCCACTGCTTTTGCCTTATACCTCTCTCTAAGAGCTAAGCACGGAGAAATTATCGTGGATAACATCTGAACTCTAATGCGTTCATGGCACTTGGGAAACGTGCGCTGCAGAGTTATGCCACGTTTGCGGGCGGGAGAGACATGGGGGTTGCAGGTGCTTGGCCAACAGGTCTACACAAGACTGTAGCCTTGAGCTGTCTGTGTTGCCCCCTTGGAAGCCACACAAGGGCTGGAAAGGTGACTGAAAGGTTTGTGGTCACCACTGGGCGTTACAGCCGGCACGTACAAGAGCAACAAGTCATTCCTGTGAAGGCTTCCTGACCGATGGGCTGGCCGCCCTCAGATTTCGATAGCTTATGCTACTCTGAATGGGACAGGGATGCTGAAATACCGGGCAGCTATTCGCTTTGCTTTGCAAGAAAAGTCCTTTCGAAGTTTACTTTCCCAGTGCCGCAATGGTGGGGAGAAGAGGGCACTGGGGGCTCGCCGGGAAGCACGCCGTCTTTCTCCGTTTGCTACAGAAAACATAAAAATCACCGTAGGATCTTTCTACCACCGCATCGCAAGACGTGAAAACTGGTCAGTACCGGCTGCGGCTGCCGGTGGGGGTATTGCCCAAAACTCCGCTTGAGGGCAGCCCCGCCCCGCCGGGG